CATGAAGGCTCTGCTGTCATTAATTTTAAACAYGTCACTGTGGTGTCGGTCAGCTTGACTACCAACAAAGAAAACTAAAGTGTTCCCATAAATCATTTTATTGTCCTAATCCAACCTAATTAACTAACTAAAACTTCTATTCTGATGAAGCAGCCCTTCCTGTGAGACATCTGCCTCTTTCTTAATGGATTTTAGCTTTTATTTCTGCTATAGTGCACAAGAATTGGTGACCGTAATAACGTTAAGTCCCTCTTGCCATCTTTAGGGAGCTCACCTGGCACAAGGGAATGGCTAATTTTAAATTTCCAAATGCAGAGATTTTAATTTTTTTTTTTTCATTCCTTGGAAACATGGTTTGCAAGCCAGGAGGAAGCAATAAAATCTCTATTTCTAGACGTGGATTAGACTTGTTGCCTGTAAGCTTTGCAAGCAGCAGCCTAAAGGCTCTGAGAATTTTGGGATCTGCTTCTGTAGTTCATTGACACTCTTCTAACACGGAGGGTTTGACTTAATAGTGTTAAGTTGATGTAATGGTGCCGTGAGCTCCTGACCGGTTCTTGAACTCAGGGGCTGGGGGTGACTGAGGGAAATGAGAGCACTGTCAGTGTGCAGGGGTTTGCTGTGGCACCAGGACATGATTGTAGATAGGGAATATCTGGCTGAGGAAWTGTAAATTCAGTGGAGGAGGTAAAGGTGGACAATCTGACTAAAGAGCCATCTCTGCTTTCAGGGATATCTGTTGAAGATCTGTTAAGTTTTAGTTTTGTTCCCTCCTTWTTCTGTATCTTTGCTAAAAAAGCAGAGCACTAARAAAKACTRGTTTTTAAATATAACCCTTCTATAYTCTTATTCCCTTTATCTACGAGGTGATTTTATGTGGGGTGAGGGAATTCTATTTTCTCACTTCTTGAAATGATGAGAAAACTGATAGCATCCACCTTTGCAGGGGAATGAACAGAGAGCAAAGGATTCAGATGGACTGAGATATTCCAGGGGCTGGCAGAGTTGCAGTGTTGCTGCTGGGAAAGCAGACTCTGTTTGATCTCTATTTGATCTTGGCTCCTCRGAGACCTGACAGATTTGTAAGTCGTAGCCTTTAGCTGCTGCTTTGATTGTGAGGGCAAAGTGCTGGAACGAGGTTTTGTTCTCAAAACGGAGAGAAAGGAGCAAGAATGAAAAAGTGTGTGTAAGGAGGTGGGGGAAAAACCAAGGCCAAGTGTAATTCCAGCCCGCGGGAAGGAAATAACTGGAAATTTGAGCTTCTAGCAAAGTTGAAAAATAAAAAAAAATAAAAAAAAAAAGGCAAGAATATTTACTTAGGCTATGTTATTGTGGGGGTGAGGTCATGGTCTTTCTCCTTTCAGTCTTGGTTAAAATAGGGCAGTTTTGAGCTGAAATCACTGGAACACAAATCTTGCATTAGTGGGGGATGCTGTGGGGTTTATCTTGAGSAATGGGGAGGAATCTTCCTGCTCAGCTTAAGAGCAGGCTCAATATACACTGAGAGTTGGAGCCTCCATCTGAAAAACCCCATGGAGATGGATGGATTGCTGGGCARACACGAGCTCTGTCTTGGAAACATTCTGAGGAAATCTGTCCCTTCATGCCATGAAGAATATGGCACCTGAGGATTCCCTTGCTGCTTTTATTTGGCATTTGTACTTTTTTAAATCCCTCAGCCCCACTGTTCATGGGGTTGTGATTTATTTACTCACAGTGGAATTATTTTGGAAAATTCTCTTGCTGCTGTTATTTGCTCCCCCAGTCATCATCCCCCAGTCCCCCAGTTCATCTCCAGTTTACTGTTTCCTCCAAAGGAAAGGGAATTGTTTGTGCTTATCAGCTTGAGACGTTTAGGTGTTAAATGTCTCATAAAACAAAGTGTTGTGTAGGCAGCTGAATTCATCCAACCTTTATCTCCTCACCAGCAATTCCTACTGAACAAGAGGTGGGATGTGCTATGGCCAACCTGGAGCTGCATGGTTTGGATGGGCTTGGTAAGCTCAGACTGTGGATATTAGTGAGGTTTTTCCAGAATTTGTGTCTAATTCAGGGTGGGTTTTTTCCTGTTCAGTTGATAATTTTCATTATACCTCTAAGAACCTGAAAGATCCGAGCAAACTGCTCAAAGTGAGCTCAGGGAAGAGTAAAGGAGTCCAGAATGCTGGAAGTGCCTGAAGGAAGATTTCTCTCAGGTGAAACCACAACCCTGGGACTTATGGCTGGATTTTATGATCTTAAATGTGTTTTAAAACCAAAACTATTCTACAATTCCACTTACTCAAAAGCTTAGTGGATTCTGAGAAAAAGCTTAGAAAATACCCACTATTACTCTGGTGGGTCTTGGCAGCCTTGGGGTGGAAGTGAAGAGAGAGATAAAGTTTAGTGTCAGGTTCTTGTTCTTCCTGGTCCTATTTCCTGCCTGGACATGGTGTTGTCCAGCCTGAAACTCTGAATTTATCTGCCAGAACTTGTGAAGCTGCTGTAATTCTTGTGGCAATTCTTCAGGGCTTTTCTCGTGTCTTCAGTTGCTACCTCAGGGCAATTACGTGACAGCATCAAGGGGGTTTGAGAGGAAAATCCTGCTGACAGAAAAAACAGTCTGGAAATTTAAATGCTAAAAAGAGTAAAAAGGCAAACTCACTCTTTTGGTTGCTACAAACCAGATTTAAGGGGTTTAATGCAATCAATCTTCAGACTCCTTTGAGAGTTGTGGTAGTGTGGTTCTACAGTACCTCAGGCGGTAAAAAGCCTTCATGATTTTTGCTTGTGTCTGTGTTCCACTCACAGTAGTATTTTATTAGGATATTTCCACTGTTTTGTGTGATTCCTAAAATACTTTTTTTTTTTTACTTGAAGTGGCCAATTGCTTTGACACCAGCACTTAAAAAGCTTGTGAAGTGTCTGAATTGGAGCAACTGTTGGTCCTGAGCAGACTGAAGACACACAAGTTGAAACATTTCTCATAGCATTCTTGGCTTTTCCCAAAAACGATTACACAATTCCAGGAAATTAAATGTAGCATTTCTTCACTGAAAATAACTGGGTATAAATAGTGGAAAACAAAGTGGAGGGGAAGTAGATGAGGAAAAAAAGTTGGGAGGGGAAAGGAGCACACACAGAAAAGAAGATGATTRTGTCCTACCCTGACATTTCAGGACTGTCACCTTAACACTCTGTCCTCCTTTGTATCCCAACTGCAACACAGTGGAGGCACGTAGAAATGAGTGAAATCTTGTGTAGGAAAGCTATTGCTTTCTGATGTTTGAAGTATTATATTCTGATAATATGAATATAACATGGATTATTGCCATGTTAAGTTTAACAGTTAAGGTGTAAGGGTCTCCTGTTTATTTTTTGTATATTCTAGGAACACCTGGGGCTTGAGATCCCTTTCTTAGTTGTCAAAAATGCATAGAGGAAAAGCTTTTCAGACCACAGCTGAGTGTCCTGGCAGATCATGGTGTTAGTGACTTCATCTGAATTGCATTTTGATGCCATTTGTTCTTGCAACTATGTGCCAATGTAGTGGTTACTGCAAAACACTATAAATAATCTGGGAAACTCAGAATCTGCCTATTTCTGATTACCAAGTATGTTTACATCACTTTTCAGCTGTTGCAACTCCTGAAACAAAATGGGTGAATCTAGGCTTTGTCTGCAAGTTTTGTAAAAGCCTCTTTGCARAAAGGAAGTACTGGGAAAGGTCCTMTTGCCTGATCTTAGAATRATTTGGTGGGAAGGGACCTTAAAGATGATCCAGYTCCACTCCTGTGCCATTGGCAAGGACATTTTCCACTAGACCAGGTGCTAGAGCCTCCAGCCAGAGGCATGTTGTAAAAGCAGTCTCTGCTGTTGTAAATGCATGAGGTTTGCAAAAAACAATTCTTCCATTATGTGTTTTCAATAATTCTGTGTCGAATACTCTTGCTAACCCTTAGTAGGCTTTTAGTATGCACATAGATGTTTCTAATACCTCCAGCATTCAGAAGGATTTTTAATGATTCGTTCAATAATTGATGTAGCTTTGGCATAATTTAGGCTTTTGTGAGAGGTGGCAGGCAGATGAGTAGAATATATTTAGTTGTTTAGTTTAATCATTCCTGTCTGTGAATTCTTAAGGTGAAAAGCACTATGAAGGAATGGAGCAAGTGAGAGAACCTCTTGGAGAAAATTATCCCCTCAGCTGAAAACTGGAGAAAGCTTTAATTAACCTATTAATTCATTGCTTAAGTGTCTGCAAAGTGTTTTTTGAGCAGTAACAGTCATTACCTTCCAGAATTGTGTGTGGTTATATGGACCTTTATATTTACATCTATTTCCCTGTTAGCCAAGAGATTCAGTTTCTCAGCTGGTTTCCCTCAATTGTGGTTAAGATAAAGCAGAAAAGAGGAGCTGTCTTCTTCTTGACTTGTTTTAAATACTGAAATACTATTTAGTCTTTGATACTAAATCCATATCTGCAGAGACCTTTTTACTTTGACAGGTAGTAAGAAGTACCCTTTAACGAGGAGAATCACACTGAGAGTGTTTGGGTTTGTCACGAGTTCTATAAAATTTCTGGGATCCTTCTGATATAAACAGGAATTTACCTGACAGTAATGATATCTCTGAAATCCTGGCACTTTTAAACTGGAAATCTGTTTTAAACTTTGTAAAAACAAGCCAAAATTCCCTCAACTCCCAAGTCTTTGCTAGAGTACAAGTTGGTACAGGGGTTAGGAACTAAATACAATTTCAAAGAAAAATGGTTTTTGGAGTCTAAACTGTAAAAAAAGGTAAGTATTGGGTACTTCTGAACTGGAAAAAAAGCAAGTGCAGCTTGGAGTTTTCCATTAAAAACAAACAATAAAATCCTATTGTATGTGTTTAGCCATCCTTGTAATAACATGTTACAATACACTGCTTTCCTGATCATAGCAAARGTGTTTATGTAGCAAAATGAATTTGATTACAATATTTTTGTGTGTAATAGACCTCTTTTTTTCTTTATTTACCAGGCAATCAGCTCTAAAGGTCATCACAGTATCTCTTTCACATTATCTAGAAGCCAGACGGTTATTGTGGAATATATTCATGATAAAGATACAGACATGTTTCAGGTAAGGCTCTGAAATACTTGGATTGTTTTTTAAAAGCAACATATGGAACCCCAGTTSTGCATTATCCTCTGGGTATTCTCTGGGATCTGTGGGATTTTCATGGTCTAACYCAGCTGCATTAATATTGGGAGCACTTTGAAATTTTGCATTATTCTGCTCTTTACAAACCAGCATCTGACTTTGTGCTTTTAACTGTACTCTGCTTTTTCTCCCAAGACAAATAGTATTGGGGAGAAATGTGTGCTCTGTTKGGATTCATGAATGAGCACAGAATTACATCCACCACTCTCCAGTTAATCATGTAGCTKGAGTAAAAGGGAAGTGGAAGTAGTAGGACATGGGATGGGGAATGAGGAAGGTAAAAATAAAGGTGGGAGGAGAGTGTGGGAGCTGTGGAGTGCCAGAGACAAACCAGTGATGGATGATGAACTGTTCTCTCAGGTGGTGTAGGGCACTAGGCTGAGTTTCTCTAAGCTCCCATCTATTTGGTTTTCTGCATCATTTAACATTCTGGTAACCTGAATGATTTTCTTATTAYACATTTTTATGTATATTAACAGAATGCAGAAATCCTGTGCAAACCTAGACTTCAAACTTGGAGAATCCAAACATGCACCTTTTCATTCTAGACTGATCAGATCTGTCTTGTCTGTGACCTCTAATTAGAGTGTCTCACTGTGAATTGTTATCTCTCCTCATTCAGCCTTTCATATTCAGGAGGGTCAGCAGTGGAGTGCTGTTGGCAGAGGAGGAAATAGCTCTTTGGAGAGGTTTTTGCTTCTCTTGACTTCTGTGTTTTGCTCTATATTAAATTTTCCCAGTGTAACTGAAACTATTRGGTCCAAATAGGAATTGATTAAAACCCAGTCCTGTTCATTTGCTGCAGAGTGAAGGATTGAACAGCCACGGCGAACTGAAATAGGTTTTTCTAGTGTCAACTAGTGAATGAAAAATGTAACCCATCCATTGGGGTTACTGTGTGATGCTTGTTTAGCTCTTGAGTAGCTCCAGTGAAATTTTTTCCTGGATGTAAATTTTAAAAAACCATGTTTGAAAGCTGTACTCCTTCTTGAGTACACTAAAAATGAATAAAGGGTTACAGAACAGCTGCTTTTCTGGGCATATTTTACAGACAGCTATTGGATTAAGTGCTAGTGGTAGGGAACAGCTTTTATTGGGGGGGATAAGATGCTGTTTCAGTCTGGGGAGGTGTAGGGGGTCCTGCTGTGACTTGACCTCACTGTGACCTCCCAGCTCTGTGTCCTGGTTCCTGTTTCTGCTCTTTGGCTGTTTCCTGAGGATTGCTGATGGCTGATGAGAATGGTAACAGGAGTGGTCTGGTAGACCGTGGCAATAATTTCTCACTGAATCAAAGCCCAGAGCAGTTGAAGAGGTCTCAGTTATTTATATGAGCCATTAGATTTTAACTGTTCTCATGAATCTGTTGGAGAAAAGTTACTTGAGGATGTTTAGTGCAGGCCTGTAGTACATGGTGAAAATTTTATGTCTGTTGATCCACAGAATAGTTTCATTGTTGGTCAAACATCACTTGGATAGACAATCCTTGGAATTTACTGTTTTCTTTTCAAATGTGTGTTCCTAGTTTGGGTAGGATGTGGAAGTTGAAAAGGGAAGGATAATTATTGGATCACAGGATTATCCTGGGCCTTGATGCCCCAGTATGTATTATCCTGGGGAAGTCACTTGGCTTTTTTTTACTTGATTCCCACTGTGCTTCCTGAGCTGCCGTGCTGTGGTTTGCATTTTGGTTTTTTTTTTTTGTTTTTTTTTTTGTGTTTTTTTTTTTTTTTTTTTTTTTTTTTAAATATAATGATATAATGAAATCTGTGTATAAATGCTATTATGCACTTTTGTCTTAGTGACATCTAGGTCAGATTTCTTAATTTAATAACAAAAAGAATGTGCARACATGCATCTCCCAGACTCTATATGCTCCAGCATCCATGTGCAGTCATAAATGAAGATGTTTTWTAGAGTTTAACCATTCTGTTGGTGATGCATTAGCTGAAGTTGATGGGRTAAGAATGAGTTGATTATATCTGTTCATACCACCACAAAGAACCAAAATATGTAGCTCCTACCCTAAATAACTACAAGTTTATACAAGAAGCAGGTACATTCAATACGAAACATTGATTTTTTTTTTTTCTGAAGAACGGCCCTTCAGAAAATGCAGAGTCCAATTCTCACTCTGATCAGAGTGAAATTCTGTTGAAGCTCCAGACCCTGCAGCTGTTCARTTCTGTGCTGGCAGGTTTTGCCTGCTGTCAGGAGCGGTGTTTTAACAGCACTGCTGTGACTGACAGCAGACACGAGCAAACCAAGGCATTGCTGCCTCTCACACAGCCTTTAACAATCACCTGCAGAGGAGACAACACTCRCTGCCTTCTGCAGCACTCAGAGATTTATGGTTTCTTGTTGGAAGTAACTTAGGGAAATAATATAACACAGTTAACAAGAAGGGTCCCAAAATACAGCCTGAAATTGCTAGAAAGAAGAAAGTCTTCTGTGCTGTGGTGGAAAGTGGGAGAAAAATGAGTAATGAAGTGTGTAAAGAGCAGCTTCTTATAATGGAACTAAGTCTGTAGTGACTGTAGTCTGACTGCAACATCAGATGAGTTAAAAGTTTTGGAGGGTGGATGTTGATAGCGTGAAGTTTTTCGTTTATTCCCTAGGGATTTGCTTTTCAGGTGATCTCATTCYCAAATTTCTTATTTGATGCAGAGCATGAGAAAATTGCCAGGTTTTGARGGCCACTTCTTCAAATAAATTCTAATGCTGAAAAGTAGCACAAGGAAGGCTTTCTCAATAGGAAAAGGGAAGAAAACAAAATATTTAAAATATTTGATTTTGCACAGACATACTTGTGGCACAAATGAGTTAAGTAATTGTTGTGTTTACATAAAATATTACGTGTCATTTTAGAGCCTTAAAAACCACATGGAAGCATTGTTTATAGATTTTAATGGTTATATCCAAACATATTTGGATTTCATGGTGAATGATTAGTGTGATGTAAGAAAGGCTGGGAGCACACACTTGTGTGYTTTGTCATCCTTGAAAGAAAAATGAGGCAGGCTTTTCTCTAATTGCATATAAAAGCTTTGAGAGAATGATCTATTTCAGAGACTGCAAGAGGCAGAAACTTGTTATGAACAAATTAATTTCATATTTGTTATTGATTATCATTTAAGAGACTCCACATACAGAGAGAGAACAGTCAAAAGTTATTCATGAGGTTCCTGCTGCTTCTCGGTGCTGACTCTTAACAGGAATTGCTTTGGGTGGGGAATTGAAACCTGTTAGAAATAATACTGTAAAAGGAAGAAGAATATTGCTTTGTAAGATTTAGCTTCAAGTTGTCAAGTTATATAAATCAGAAATATCCCATATTAAATAGTTTCTAAACTCTGTCTCTTGGGTATTCWGGTAGACACTTTCTGTGAGAAATTGAAATGTATACTTTTGATTAGGCCTCGTTGAGTATTTCCTCTGCAGAGAGCTCATCCCATTTTCTGCTTGGGCTCAGACCTGTGATGTGGAGACAGTAACTGGATGTGTCACTGAAGACATGAATTTTGACATTTGTTAGAGTGCAAAGCAGAGCTTGAAGCAGGAAGGAAGCACAGGAGAGATCCCTGTACTATTTCCATCAATTCAGTTGTGACAAGAGTTGAGTGTTAATCACATTAATTTCCTTGACTCCTGAACAATGTTCCTTTCCAGCAGATGTAGTTTGCAGAGATGTTTGTTAATGATGGAACCACTGACTCCCCATAGCTGGCTTTCAAGAGCAAGATCTAAGCAGAATGTAACTTCTTGGGAGACAGTGAGATCATGTTTAGTGAGGAGGTTATTTTATGTCAGTGTAGATACCTGATATTGAAGGTAGTTTCATGTGAAGAGTATTCCTAATTCTGTTTGATCACAAGGTGTCTATGAAATTATTATTCTGTTCCACTTCTTGTTCCTCAGCTCCACTTTCCCAGATAAGTTCAAAGTTGGTGTAACACTAATTTGCCTGTAGAAATATTGATAAAACCTCACTATCTGTCTGGCAGATAGATCCCTCCATCCATGTAGTCATGAAGTTTTCTGTCCCAGATGTTTCCAGATTTGGAATTCAAACTTAAACATGGCAAGATAGAAAAATATTCCTGTCTGTTGATCAAGTCTGTTTCTTTTCTGCTGAAGAGAGTTTTTTAATTGTTAGTCACSCATGTGCATGATTAAGAATGAATTTAATTGTATGGTGGGTTTTGCCTGAAAACTCCTCTTTCTGGGACTACAAATCCTGAAAACATGAAGGTGGGTAGCTTTTTGTTATGACATATCAAAATAACTGAGTTCTGGGTCTAAAAGAAGTCCTTTATTTTCATGGCAAATGAATTTAGAACTGGAAATGTGAATAAAACTTGTCAATCCAAGCCAGCGTGTTCTTAACTGACAGAACGTTGTAGCAAGGAAGTTGCTGTGGTTGGATGAGGAAATAGCAARGTGATAATGCTTTTTTGTTGACAATACTCTTAATCAAATCAGCTGTGTTGATTTGTTTCAAGCAAGCAYGAGCATCAGTTGTGGTAAATGAAAATTTGTCATTCTTTGTCTGTGATGTATTTCTGCCTAGGACAAATGTGGAAATACAGGTTAGGCTCTGGTTGAATCTTGCCATCCAAAAAATCAGTAGATGGCAGTTTACTGATGTCATCAATATTAACCTAGCAAAGATTTGTTCTCAGTGCTTCATATTTCTGTGGGCATTTCTAGTTATAACATTATCTTAATTTTTTTTGTAGGTTGGGAGGTCAACAGAAAGCCCAATAGACTTTGTAGTAACAGATACTATTTCTGGAAGTCAAAATAATGACGAAACCCAGATTACGCAGAGCACTATCTCCAGATTTGCCTGCAGGATTGTTTGTGACAGAAACCCACCTTACACAGCACGGATCTTTGCAGCTGGCTTTGACTCGTCTAAAAATATATTTCTTGGTGTAAGTACTGCTAATAATGATGTTATGAGCAAACTCTGGTTTATATTCTGTTATTTTCAAGCCCCCAAATCTCCTTATACTGGTTGATAACTTGTACTGCCATTATACTTTTATTACTCCAATGCAGCAGCTGCAGTGTTAAGTAGCAACTGCAGTTTTATGTGCCTGAGTTATCACCAGCAGAGACTCATGGTCATAATTGCCTTTAAYAATGAAGCTCTGCTTTAGTAACTGTTAGTGGATTTTCTCTAGGTTGGTTTGATGTATTTTTGATCATCATTGTGACTGTCACACGTAGGAAAAAGCGGCCAAGTGGAAAAACCCTGATGGCCACATGGATGGATTGACAACCAATGGGGTGCTGGTGATGCATCCCAAAGGAGGCTTCACGGAGGAGTCCAAGCCTGGAGTGTGGCGGGAGATCTCMGTCTGTGGGGATGTGTACACGCTCCGGGAGACCAGGTCTGCTCAGCAGAGGGGCAAACTGGTAAGTGGGAAGTGACTAAAATGAAAAGAGGGACACTTGTTTTCCTGGCCCTGGATGGAGGCAGCTACGGCACTGCAAGCATCCAARTCTCTGTGTGTTCCAGCAGATTTTGCACTGCTGTTCTGTTAYTTATGGGAGAACACTCAAAACTTTCTGCTAATGCCACTTTTCCAACTGAGGATAGCACAGAGTGTAAAAGTTAAATAAGCTCTGCTCTGGAATGTCCATCTCTGATATGTTCTTCTGGGGCATGGGGATGTCTGGAATTTGCTGCAYGGGGAGCTGTCTTTTGCAGTCCTGCCTGAAGAGTTCACTTACTGCAAAAGCAGTTTGGGTAAAGCAGCTTTTGTTTAATTTCCCTGCCACTAGGAAGGTAAGAGAAGCCCTGAAAATATATTCCTGTTTTCTCCTGTGAGTCAGGGTGGCCTTTTCCTTTCCCAGAAGTGAGACATTTCAGCTGCCAGAGACCCATGACACGTACAGCCAGGAGAGAACTGACTTTGCAGCTCTGCTGTTGGCTTTTCACAAAACTGACTGCTGAAAGAGTGAGGGGAACGGAGTTGGGCTGTTCTGCTTTCAGCAGACGCCCTGCAGGACATAAATTGCTTTGTCACACTGACGGTGGCAGGGAATGTCGCCTGGGGACCTGGACAGATGATGTGGCAATTGCAGCTTTGAACGTGGGTAGCTAAACACCTTTTTAGTGCTGCTAAAGAGAGGYACAGCAAAACAAATGAATCCCCCTCCCTGCATCCAAAATGACTTGAATTCTCATTTAAATAAAATTACATGGCACACTGGTATTGATGTGATCAGTATTCGTTGATTGGGTTCATAAAACCAAATGCAGGCTGTATAATGAGTTGAACACGTTGAGTATGAGGGAGCTTTTTGCTTGGCTGTTTGTGRAGGAATTATCTGAAAAGAGCATCAAATCTAGGCTTCTCTCATCTCTGCTTGAACCACTAAATTTTTCTGCTGGAATTACTTTGCACTGGTGACCTCTTATCTCTAGTCTGTGTTGTACCACTGAGGTGTTTTCTGCAAGGATGATCCACAGTTAATCTGTGAATTTAAACTGGATTAAAATGTAAATGCCAAATTGGTTGTCATTCATAGTATTCTTAGGCAGATGTGATGATTTCATGTGACCTACTTAATGTATTTGTTTGTATTTAGCWATTTGTTCTGCATTAGTGGTATTTTCTGCATACTTTCTGTGAGTAAAGCCAGGCAATAGGTCTGTTTTTCTCTTTAATTTTATAAAGAGCTTTTTGAATATATATTAATCATTAATGAAGTGATAGCAAAAGCACATTTTGCTTATATGTTTGTGACATTAAATAAAGAATATTTCAGCCAAGTGCAATGTGTGTTTGGCATAATCCCTTGAAAATGTTTTAAGTACCTGCTTTTAATCAGAGAGAAGCCTTTAGGCAGTGCACACTGGGGCTGTGTTTCCTTGGAATACCTCATTAAATCAAAGGCCTAACGAGTGGGGTGGRTAATTGTTCACAGGCTGAGCCTGTGTGGCTTCAGTTGCAGAATTTGTCACCTGAGAAATTCAGCTGGTAATTCAGTCTGCTGCAATGATAAGCCATGCAGGTACCTGTGCTGCTGAGGCACACTCTGCAAGTCCATGCTTCTGCAAAATGCCACAACCCCAGAAAAAATAGTATCTCAGAGACAGGACAGCTGATCTGTCCTGAATAGCAGTTTTTTTTTTTAACTGTGTGAGCAGCTTCTCTCAGTCTGTGTGGGCAAATAATTCCAGGAGAGAATCTGCTAATGCAGCCCTTAGGGAATGGCACGTCTTTTCTTCAGTCTATCAGGACTTACTGAAATATGACAAAGGCACACAGAGAATCAATATTGGAGAAAAAAGTGCATGCTCAGGGGTAAGGAGTGATTAGTAATTTAATACCTTTCCCAAAGAATKGCAGGCCTGAAGACTGGGTATAATAATTTGTGTTGCGACTGGAAATGCACAGAATAAGGGACTGGTGCTTGTAAGTGTCACGTAAAGGGGRTGATGCTGAGAATGAGGGTGCASAACTGACCTGTAAAAGCTCTGAGGCTAAACCAGCTCCCCTTGTGTCCTGCCACCAGGTAGAAAACGAGACCAACATCCTTCAGGACGGCTCCTTGATCGACCTGTGCGGGGCCACGCTGCTGTGGAGAACGGCGGACGGACTGCTGCACACGCCCACCCAGAAACACATCGAGGCGCTGCGGCAGGAGATCAACGCGGCGCGGCCCCAGTGCCCCGTGGGCTTGAACACCTTGGCTTTCCCCAGCATCAACCGCAAGGACGTGGTGGAGGAGAAGCAGCCTTGGGCCTACCTCAGCTGCGGCCACGTGCACGGCTACCACAACTGGGGCCACCGCAGCGACACGGAAGCCAACGAGCGCGAGTGCCCCATGTGCAGAACCGTTGGCCCCTACGTGCCTCTGTGGCTGGGCTGCGAGGCCGGCTTTTACGTGGACGCCGGGCCTCCCACCCACGCTTTCACCCCCTGTGGACACGTGTGCTCCGAGAAAACTGCCAAATATTGGTCCCAAATCCCGCTGCCCCACGGGACTCACGCGTTCCACGCCGCCTGCCCGTTCTGCGCCACGCAGCTCTCCGGGGAGCACAACTGCGTCAAGCTCATCTTTCAGGGCCCCATCGACTGAGAAATCGCTTTGCAGTGACCATAATAAAAGTTTTCTTTAACGATTTACTGTGAAGATTTTTGCCACTAACTCTAGATTTTACCTTTTTTTATAATGTTATTAACAGGGGCGGTAGGGTGGGGTTGGGGAAGCGACGAGGAAATGGAGGGACTTTGGTGGAATTGGGATACATTGATACCTGGAACTTGACAGATATCAGTGGTGTTGCATGCTCAAAAGCAGCATATTCATGGAGTCTTCTTGGTCAAATTGTAGTATATTTGTAATCTTTTTATTAGTACCCGGATCAAAAAAAAGGTGTCTTAAATGATTTTTTTAAGCTAAGATTTTTTAATGGAAAGGTTTTTTCTTCTAAACTTTGACAAGCCTTTAAAACCTATTTTTCAAATCTAGAAGGAACATACAGAATGTAACTGTCTTTAATTTGCAATATAATTTAACTTGAATAGTTTCTCAAGGAGCAAATACAGAATGTGTGGACAACCATAGGTGAATGTTCACTAGAGATAATTGGATATGTAAGAGAAAAATTAGCTGCCTAAAGTGTCRAGGATAAAAGCTATTAAAATATCTATTATGGTATAACACAGCTGGCCAAAAAGGCATCAAAGATTACTTGAAACTGAGGAAATCCTGTTTGCATTGATTTCCTTTCAGTGTAATAGATATCCACTGGCTATTAGGTATGGGAGATGGCTGATTGTTTTCTGTCTTTTTTTTTTTCCCATTTAACCTGCATCTGGTGAAACCACTTTACTGTTTTCCATGCTTAGCTCTGGGCTTTAAGCTGATRTTCTCTGTGTGTGTATTTTGGCCTTTTTATTTGTGTTTCACCTCGCTCGCCCTCACTGCTCCTTACCCAGGACCTTTGGGTGAGCGGAGGCCACAGGATCCCAGAATGGTTTGGGATGGAAGGGACCTTAAAACTCATCAGTTCCAACTGATGGGCAGGGACACCTTCTACTATCCCAGGCTGCTCCAAGCCCTGGTTTTGGATATTCCCAGGGATGGGGCAGCCACAGTTTCTCTGGAGCCCTGATGGAGCAGAGATGTGTCCAGGCTTTGCTGCAGAGATGAAGGGGTGGTGCCACAGCACAACATGAGGTTTAGGTACAACTGAYACAGAATTTATTTACATAAACCTGAATTCAGGAAAGCACTTAGGCTATGTTTGAATTTAAGCCCACGGCTGGGACTGTTTAGACTCTCAAGAGCTTCAGTGCATTGTGTTATTTGCTGTTATGTTTTGAAATAAAAAAGCAATTTTAAATAACTTATTTTTTAAGCTCACTTTAAAGCATTTTCACTAGGAGGGAGAGCATCATTTCCAGTTCAGTTGAGCATTTTTGTTCACTTTTCWACTTGCTGCCATCTGTCACCTTTTCTTTTGCAGATTGAGTTGTGTTTGTATCTCTTTTTTTCCCAAATGTTTGCAAATCAAACAACATTCAAATGTAATCAAATATATGCACCGGGGTGGTACATCTGAAGTGGATCACTTGAAATTTGTGACTTTTTAAGAGAGCTGATAAATGTTTACTATGGAAATAATTAAATCAGAATTTCATATGAGATGTACCCTGCCCACTGTTAGACTCATTTCATGCAGAGTGATAACACTTTGATTTGTGGGGGTTTTATTTCTTATGCTTTCTGTACTCTTGGTATCTGAGGTATCAATCTATCCAGGTTTAAAAAAAAAAAAAATTTGGAGAAATCTGTAACATCTCTAGATGAAATTGATCATTCAAGCTCAGTTCTGTTTAATCAGCTATAGCTTTTTGCTATATTTGTGCCCTTWGTATAAATATATAATTTATATGATTTTTAATATATTCTGTATATAGATATACTTGAATTGGCCTGTTCATATTTTGTTGTAAAATTGTTTTATAGTTAACCTTATAAACATTTTACATGTCCCTTGCCAATGGTGATGGGATTTACTTTGTCTGCTGCTGTTCTTAATATAATTTTGCTGTATACATGTTCAGCATTTTAATAATTTGAAAATAGCTTTACTTTTCTTTTTATGCTTTTGCTGTTAAGAAAAAAAAACAAAACTCTGCAGCAATTTTTTTTATAAAAGCCCCAAACTGTCCATCCAGTTTTGTTCCACTCAGTGATTTGAAACAGGATAAACCTTGTTAACCTAAAACTATATGCTTCTTCCTAGTGCCTTTTCAAAGAGTTCCTCTTGTGATTCCATTTTCCAAGTCCTTACTCCCACAAGGAAACCTCRTGGCTCATCTCCACGGAGAGCAGCTGGGGAAGAAACTCCTTTGGCCTTCAGTTCCTCGCGTCCTGGATGTGAAGGTGCCTCCTCCTCGCTCCCAATCCCGTGCAGGTTCCTCAGGTCCCACTCYGCAGCGTTATTYCTGTAATCAGAATTACCTCATCTGGGAGAGGCGGCCTCACCKCRCCTCCTCCCTGCTGGACTCTGAAAYGCTTCASTCRTTCCTCACTGGATGCTCTGGACACGCTGCTGGAGCTGCTCCGGGGTGGATTCGGGCTCGTGGAGCTCCGTGCGCGGCGTTCCCGGCTGCGGCTGCGCTGCTCAGGGCGAGCGCGTGCTCTCATCTCCTCCGAGCCCCAGTGGATTGGAAACACCCCACCTCCCTTCCCCAGCTGCTTTACTCTTCTCCTTCGCCGGTGCAGTTTAATTGCTGCTTCAGGGCTTCATATCCCTTCGTGTTCCCTGTGGAAAGTGAATGTACAGTGCTGGAAGGATCCTCGAGCGCGCCATCAGCCTTGGTGTGTTTGGCTGGTGTGAAGCTGARCGCTGGATAATGGTTTGTATCCAAGGGACGTGTCTGTTTGAAGCTGTTTAAACAAGATTTTTTTTTTCTTTCGCCATCAGCAGTTTTGTATGACACAAGGAATACTGCAGGAAGGAAAAGGCTCAGAATCTTGGAATGGGCAAGGCTGGGAAGTGACTGTGGGGCTCATCTGGTCCCACCTCCTTGCTGAAGAAGGAGTGCATGGTGTAGGATTGTGTCCAGATGGTTCTGGAAGATCCCCAGTGGTGGAGACTCCACTCCCTCTCTAGTCAATCTGTTCAGGGCTCACCGCACAGGAAAGAAGTTCTTCCTCACGTCCAGGTGGAATTTTTGGGCATCAGTTCCTGCCCCTTCCTCGTGTGCCATTGCTGGCCCCACGGAGCAGAGCCTGGTCCATCTTCTTGGCACCCCCTTTAGATATTCATACCCTTGGATGAGGGCCCCTCTCAGTGTCTCTTCTYGAGGCTGAACAGCCCCAGCTCCCCCAGCATTTCCTCCTAAGGGGCTGCTCCACTCCCTTAATCCCCTGGGGAGGATTTGCCCTCTGCTGTTCCTGCTCCAGGATCTCCATGTCCCTCCTGTCCTGAGGAGCCCAGAGCTGGACACAGCACTGTGGGTGTGTGAGCAGAGGGGCAGATTCTTTCCTGGAAAGCAATCTTGCATGGTTTGCAGAGAATCTGGGGACTTTGCTGAGTCCCGCAGAGCTGGATTTACTGGGGAGGCAGTGATTTTTGGTGATTTTTCTCAAACTTGGTGACTTGGTGATTTTTCTCAAACTCTGCTGCCATGTGTTCTGCTCTGGTGAAATGATGGAGCATTCAGCTCTTACCCCTTGCCTTCCCTCAGCTCCATCAACACCTCCTCTCCTCTGGTACTTCAATAGGAAAAAGGCGTTTATGGRTAAATAAAACTGGAGTCAGTAAACTTGAGAGCCACCTTCAAACTTWGTTTTAAAAGTTTATTCATTATTTCAGTGTTATGATGTTCCTTGCATACCATTTCCAGTGCTGGCAATGTATTCCAGAAGGATTTTTTTCTCACCTGTTACTGTTGATTCTATTTGAAGGCTTCAAAACCAGCTTTGACTGCATACCTTAGAGTATAAGTATTTTTCTAGTATGATCTTTTTTTTTTAAAAAATATATCTGTCATATCCATGCACACTGGAGCTGGAACACTTCCCTTTTTCCTGGCAGCTTTTTGGGAGAGTGTTCAAGTCTAAATAAAAGGAGTGGTGAACACTGTTCTTACTGGGAATTGTCCAGTTGTACAGGAGAGTTCACATAAGACTGCATTTTCCTCATTAATTTTTTTTTAAATGTGTTTGTTCTATGCATCAAGGTACAGTCACAGGCTGAGTAATTAAGGAAGATTTTTTTTTTTCAATTGTGAGGGTGGGAATGGGGAGCAGAARAGATGAATGCCATGGTTGGGCTGGTTCCAGTAGGGACAGATCCACCTTGAAGCAAAGGCATGCCAGAAGCCAGTCAAAAATGTGATTGGAGCTGTTCCTGCTATCAGACCTCATCCATCCTCTGAAAAGAATTCTCCTCAGTTTGTTAGGAAATTCTGGGATGTTGTGGAAAGCCCGTTATCYTCCCAGAGAAACACTCCTCGGTGTTTTAATGGCGTTCCTGGAATGGGAGGGTTTGGCTTCAGAGCCTGAGCGAGGAGCTGGAGATGCTGAGTGTGTCACAGTGAGAAACTGCARTGGAACTGAACAGAACTCAACTATTTTAGTGCTCACAGCACTCGAAGGAAATGTGGTTCAGCTGTGGTCACTCTTGGTCACTTCCTCACCATTTTTTCATTCTTATGGAAGTGGAAGGAAACTGCTCCAAGACCATCGTGGTTTTGTCCCTCCATCCCAGAGTCTTGACACTTTCCTGGGGTTGAGAACCATTGGTAGGGATCTGGCTGTGGTGAGGACTGACAGGCATTGAAATCCATTTTTAACATGGTAGGAAAACTGTCCTGGCTCTTCCTCCTCATTTCCTCATCTTTCACTCTCTTGTGAGTCCTTGGCTCCTCATTTTCTATTTATCCATGCAGTTGCAGGTAAACAAGTAAATGCAGCTTGGAAGGAAAACACACCCTGGGGTTGCAAGTGTCTTTTTCCAGATTTTTCTCATTACTCTGAGTTTTCTAAGCACTCATCACAAGTCTGCACGCTTGGTGTTGTGAGTTAAAAGACAAACGTAGAAGGTAAGGCTGGTTTGGGGGGTGGGGGATGGAGAGGGGTAATTTCTAGGATGGAATTRCAGT